CTCTTCGTGCGCCGATAGTGCATGTGTTGAGTTCTTCCGTGTTGGTACCCTATACAGCTGCCCAGATAGCTGAACCGGCCAAGCTCCTCTCCTTGAGGCTTTGAATTAGCTCATGGATGATGGAAATCCTGGAACAAAACTTTTCAGTTTTGCGCGTGAAGAACGAGTAACAACACCAAGAATCGCACGAAAAAGTCCATTTAGACTGGGCTTTGATTTCCGATATTCACCAAGCGACCGTATTTTGCCGTCAACGTAACACCTCTCTTCAATAACGAGGGCCATTGTGCCTGGTGAGTTGTATCGTCTGACACCGTCGGTGCAAAACCTGAGCAGGAATTTGGGAAAAGGGGGCTTGCCGAACCCCAGCAGTTATAGGAAAACTTCTACCCAGGTGAGACCCACCTGTCGAAGCCCGAGTTTCATCTCACATGCCGAATCTAGATATTGCGATATTGTTGGAGCCGCACGACGCGTCATAACAGGCACCGAGCTGATACCCCATGGTTGAAAAAGTTGTTCAAGTTACTTTCCGAGTTCCTAACTCCAGTTGTCTTCCCGAAGATCTATGCGTTCGCTTTTATCGCGAATTTGAACGGTTGTCTCTACCAGATGGCGACCTGTTTTGCAGGTTTGTTGAAGCCGCCCCCGTGAGTTGTTTGCTCACTAAACACATTCTTTCTGAGTTTGTTGGCTTCACAGCGTCACAATACACGTACACACACAGACGTAGACAACTCTGTTTTGCTGTTAAATAAGCACGGAAATTTGAGTTCACGGTTAAGGCTTTCAAGCAGGTTATCCGCAGTTTCCATTGCATCCGTATCCGGAAATTTTCGCTGCGTCTGACCAAGCCGTCTCAAGCATGGAATCGATTACGTATTTGGCTTTATATATATTGCGCTAAATATATCTGTTCAGTTCCGTCCTAATTTATGCCGAAAAACCAACAAGCACTGTCAACTGGTTCATCCTCGTCGAGAATCATCAGGAGTGCGTAGTTCACAAAACTCCAGAGAGTCTCGAACCTACGACCCCTGGTTAGTGGTTAAACACCAAATCTTTCGGCAATGAGCGATTGATCAGCAGTTTTATGAACACGTACTCAAATATGATACAGCGCCCCTCATTTTTCAATAAAGGGATGCACATCACGTAATTCCGTGTGTTTACTAACTCCCAGAGCGTCGACTTCTGTAATTTACTGAGGTGCGCGTCGCTGACCATTCCCATGAAGGATGAAACAGTTTAGCAGTGCTCTTCAGCTTTCCAGCATTGTCTGGCCTCACTGACATTATGAAATCTTCATTAAATTTCTCAAATTTCCTTACACTATCAGAGAACCGTCAGCGCCTTCCAACACTCGTCACTTTGATATTTTTCAATGGATCGACCGCTTTAATTACCTAATGTGGCATAGGTTTGTAGCCGAAGAAGGGGCAGATGGATCCTTTGGTCACTGAGTCAAAATGAGTACGTCATGCTCATACTAGGAAACTGTAAACACAAGTTCGGGCTAGGTGGCAGGCACAAGATCGCGCAAGTTTCCGATATTCTTCAACGCCTGCTGGGTACGTTTAGGTGAGCGTGGAACATTAATCGTATTCAATGGTGGTCTCAGGATAGGTTGTATCCGGAACAGAACAAGATCGAAGGTGTAAAAGCTACATCTGGGGTAGTGTGCGAGCACTGCAGAATCAAGAGAATGCAATCAGCGGCATATCTCAATTCCATGTTCAAATTCCTATCCATCGAGTCTTCGTTGGCACAACCTGAGAAGACTAAGCCGCATACGGACGTGTTCCTCATGCAGTGATCGCTGTCGAGACAGCCATATCACAGGCCTCCAAACTGCTATTGATATAAATGAACAGCTAAACTGGAAGCTGGTTGTGGTGATTAGAAACAAGAACGGCCAACTGTGTGCATTAGTTGAATTAGTTATTTAATCGAGTGCTCTATTGGCCAGGGTCCTCACAGTAAGAAGATCGAATGTTGCGAGAAAATCGGCAGAGGAGAAAAGATAAATGTAAATGCATTTAAGCAAATCGTTCTGTTGACTTAGAAGAGAAGACGACCCCATCCAGCGTATTACTTTTCTTATCGTTGAGACGAACGGCCCAATTTCCATCTCATGCCAACCAGCTGAGTATCCCGATACTCTTCTCGCTAAACAACGTCACTTGTCAAATGTCGTGAATCATGAACCACAGGGCAGAAACTGCCTTTATGAAGTAAAAAATCAGTTTAATGCACCGGTTGCTCTTAGTGTGCTAAAAATTAATGCACCGTGTGTTGAGTATACCAAACTGAAAGTTGTCACACGAGCACTATCACGTTCTGTACAAGGGTACCCTCATTCGAGGACCTAACTTCACACCCGGTAAATCACCACATGATGACCAAATATTCCCGTTAGGTAATCATAGTTCCATCGTCCACATCACCGGTGATATCCACAAGACTTTTACAGAATCATCCGTATTTTAGCCAGAGTTGCTTAACTTCAGAATACTAATAAGATCTTGGCGCGCGAAAGTGGCTCTTTGCTAAATGCCAGTTCTAAGCGTGATCGTTGACTCACCGCAGACTCCAGAATATTTGTATTTTATCATTCCTCACAGCTAACAGCTGCACAGCGCAGCAAAATAGTGAACGAAATCTGGTGAATAAATTGACGCTATCGCATCCATAGTTGAAATCACGAGCCAGAATATGTCGTTATATTAAACCCTTCACAGAATACTATTTTATGTCTTATATCACCCATCCAAAAGTTACGTAATCTACCCTTCAAGTGCTACCAACGAAGATCATAATAACCTCGGTCACCTACAACAACGTAGGGAGACAAACGACGTTTGTTGTGTCCAATTTCATAACATTTCATTGACAATGTTGGTCATAAGCAGGTTTCAAATTTTGACTTCACTACTGCTTACAGGAGTTGGATATTAAAATACGTCCTGAAGAAAAGGATAGGTCGTACAAGCATTTTTACTACCTTGACACCCTACTTTTGGCCGGAATGATGCATAAAAAGGTAGTTAAAGTTAATAGAGCAGTTGGCACATGGTAAGATTCATCGATTGAAGAGGTTGTCGCTTTTACTAGCTGAAGAATCATTCAATGGAGCTCGCCTACTGCTACGAAATCCACGGTAAACCGCAACTGAGTAAAATAATTAATTAACCAAGTAATTAAGTAAGCAATTAGACAAATAAGTAAGTAAGTAGGTAAGTAATTAATTACGTATATAAGCGGCAGCCAGCGCCAACCTGAAATTACTAGTGCTGGCTCTTACATGAAAATATGCGGGGTCTGCATGGTGTTTTGCAAACATTCGGTGTTCTTTAGATACTTTCTTTTTTAGGATCATTTAATGTCTTCTGAGTGTGAACCGCCAGGGTTTGCACACCCAGATAAGTCATGCAAAGCAGCAGAATTTCGCAGCTGATGTGGGTCCGTCTGTGAACAGGACGTAAAGGAACCAAACCAAACGGGAATGTTTAGAGCCTAAACATCTTCACATGTCACAGCATGTGAAATGTAGCACCAGGCTGAATGATCCTTGATGTGGCCAGTTGTCAAGTGAATCAGAAAGTCTCGACTATTTTGTGAGCGATCTGTGACTGCGTTGCTTTGAGACTACAGTGGAGCCTGTGTATCCAAGTTTCATGTGTCCTATTCTATTGCATCCAGTTAAGAACCCGAAACAGCTGACACATGTTGTGAGATTCGCCCTCCCTGAACTCACCAGGACATGTTTGTTTTAGGTGACTAAAAATCCCACTAGGAATTCACTCGCATCATTTCACATCCTTTTTCACACTGAGCAGGAAACAACAGTAGCAGCCGAACTGCCATTCCGTCGCCAAATTCGGGCTGTTTAACCGAGTGAGTGAACCACGATCTTGCTAGTCTGCATTATGGGAAAGTGCTTCGCCTGCGTCGAGTTCACTGAAACAAAAGATTGTCTTTATCCATGGAGTGGTATATCCTTATTCTGTAGAGTTATTAATGATTTTTTATACTACAGCACTGAAACAACTGAAAACACTGATGCTGCTGTTTGGATTTACAGTGTAGACACGACTGCAAATATAGGGTATCCTATTTTATAGGCTTATTCCGGACAGTTTTTGTTTATTCTCTTAACCTACATCAAAGTACAAACGCATTATTCGTAAGGGGATCAGTATATTTTAAGCACTACTGAAACTTAGCTACGAAGCTAGTGTAGAAAAGGTTGTAGGCTTGCATTACATCCTGACGTCTTGGTCCAAGTATGGCGGCGTATCGTCGGGTAAAGCCAATATCAGGATGATCTTTTTGTGACACAACTAAGTGACAATCCATTCTGTCAATTATTCGGGCGATTCGTCCCCGTTTCCACTTTTCGTATGCTTCATGATATCCAGAAAGAATGTAAAATTGAAGTTTATAATAAACTTGCTCTGTTGGGTTCGAAGAATCTATGTTCTCCATGGTCACGTGACGCCTAACGTCACAAAGTATTGGTCGTCGTAATTCATCCAAGGATCGCTGTAGTGGAGCTAGGGCGTAAAACTGAGGGAAGCTTTCTTCAATCTGGTGGACGCAAGACTCCACACTTGTACGTGATGCACCCTTAATTAACACCCGCCGCATTCGTTGCCCCCGGTGTAGAACGGGGGACTGAGAAATACTCACGGTGCATTCTGTGTTGTTTACAATCCGTTGAAGGCGGCGATCTGTGGATTTGGTAAATGGCTTCATGCAGTCGGATTTGTCTGGTATATAAAATTTATACGCTATTTTCAACATCCTGGAAATCGGGTCAGACTGGGAGTCTGGTCTGTGGTGATAGTTGGGATGACAATTGGTAGTCAGCGGCACAGAATGACTGCAGCCCTGCAGCAGACCTCAAACTATCGATTACTAAATTCAAATAGTCATCGATCGATAGCTACAGTAATGATCGACGGCAGAATCATGAAATCCAGCTGTGCGGAGGTCAAATGAGCACGGTTTCAGAACTGGTGGAAAATTTCTGTTGGAAATCTAAAACAAGAAGCGTGTGGAAAGATGAACCAGATTTACTGGATAATGCAATGGCCCGTATTCACTCTGAAGCTGCTGTCACTGACGCGATACTTCGAAGCAAGAATACAACAGTTCCGTCTTTGGAGAAAATATCAAAAACTGTGAAATTTCTGGAACAAAATAGCTTTTGGCGTTCAAACCCATTTTCGTTGGTTAGTGGAGCGGAAGATGATCCGGCAGTGGCTCGAGCAACAAGGCGTTTGCAGATGAAATGTATTCGGGACCTTTGGGAGAGCAGTGCTTGTAGAGGGATAACATCGGATGACTCATCTGTGGCTTTCGTCCAACGACAAGCTGAATCTTCGACAGAAATACGTGACTTTGAAGCAAGTAAGCCAAAAGTACCACGTACCGCAGAGCTCACTACTGTCGAGGCTGTGTTTCGGGAATCATCCTCAAGATATATGCCAGCGCTGAGTCCCAAATCCGTTAACTCCAGAGAAAAAATTGTCACAAATTCTTCCCCGGTGATTTGCGATAGAAACGAAGCCTTGCAAACCTACGCAGAGGCTGAACAGTATCACTCTCAGCACTGAGTTTCTTAAAAAATCATACCTCATCTCCAAGTTAACCCGTTTAGCCTATTAGGCAGCCTATTGAGGACGCATAATTACACGGTAATTAAGTTTTGTGTAATCACAGCGGACCAGTTATCTTTCATTATTTCACTCTTTCTCCTCTATCCATTATCATCATCGTAATCCTCCCCACCCACACGTCTCCAACCATATTTGACAAGCGTTGTTTTAGGTCATCTTCTTATTAGCCCGACGCCAAGCATAGCCACTTTTTCTATATGATCAAACCTGAAGAAATAAAGACCCATATTGTGTTCAGACCTTTTGAAACTGTGCAAATTTCCCCGGTTACTTGTCTAAGGTGGAATTCAACAGCTTGGTGTTTGTATGCTTCCAACCTTCTCAATGGGTTGAATACCATCAAAATAGCACAACACAACTGTATGGGTTCCGTTGACTGATTATCTTTTGATCCAAATGAAGAGAATGCGTAACTTTTGTGTTTCTTTTGAGATTCGCCAACGAGTTTGCATGCAGCTTTTTTCAATGGAATAGCGCCAAGATCCTCGTCAGCAACAACAAAGGCAGAAGCACTAGTGGTGGCACTGATGTTTCACTGCATTACAACTAAAAAAGTCAGTCGATTACACTTAAAGACTTAATCTCAAGAGAAAAGAAAAGAGGGGAAAGAAAATACCTCATACTGGCCTGCAGCAAGCATTCTGATGTACGTATATCTCCGAACACTCGGTGAGACAATCTAGAAAGAAACTGACTGCACGAACGCCATTGATACCAACTAGCGGCTAAAATAAGGCGAAGCAGAGGTTTGGCAGAGTTGAAAAAGTACAGTTTTGATGCATTTTGCGACAACAATCTACCTTAAAGTGACTTATTGGAAGAAAGCTAGTGATTTGAACATTGACGGCAGCAGACACTGAAGCGAGCACTGTTTAGTACAAGTCTTTGACGCCTCAGTGATCGGAATTTATTAATAAATTTGTCAACGAAAAGGTTACTACAGGCGGTTTTTCATCCAACCGTGAACGGGGGTCTCTAGCTTTTGAACTGCAAAGTACGGCAGAGCAATTAAATCTTAACTCGTAATATCACCTAACTAGATTGCGTGCAATGTTGGTCGTAGTGAAGAGTACAGGCAACCTGTCGTATAGAGACGCTACGAGGGAAGAATAAAAACTCGTCTCCAAGTGCAATGTGTTCCTTGTAATTTAGGTTTGAACGCATGCAGCCGTCCCTTAAAGAATCGTTCCTCCAAAGTTGAAACGTCCTAAAATGGGAAATTAAATAGTTTTGGTTTTAAACTTTTCCTGATATTAGATAAAGTATACTTTCATAGAAGTGCTTCATTTACCCAAATCTAAAAACATTTTCCTGGCTCAGGAGTTCATTGAGAACCAGAGTATTTCTTCGGTGTGTATTCGCTACTAAAACATCATGTAAGCAAATGGTGTCATTCACAGCCTGTGTCCAAGAGTGCCACAGCACTATATAACTGATACAACCTTTAACTGCCCTATAGCGATCACTGCTCACTCAGCAGCCAATTAGTTAGGCATTTCTGCGGCATAACGTATTTTACTCTGTATGTCTGTATGTTGTGTAGGCACAACAAAGGTAACCTCCTAAGCTCAGTACCACACTAATCAGTTTGTATACAAGTAGTAAGGACATAAGCAAGGATTTTTTCAGCGTCATAAACATCACCAGCATGAAATCTATGTTCAACAATAATGCTTCACTGCCTATATAGCCATGATTTATTCGCACACCTTATTGTGAAGAAAAGATTGAAAGTGTATAGCGGTGAGGGTTAGTGCTAGTCTAAGTAACCGCACGACTAGACATTCACTCAGACATTCTGATATGAAAGAGACATCGATTAGCAGCCATATCTTGCAGAATTTCCGACCAATCACAGTGGGGATTCCATGACACTTATCCTGGAACTCAGGTCGCACCGAAGGCACCTGGACTTTCCCCAATCTCAGCGATGCCTCGTCTGTCAGGTTCGCCACAAATCTTCTTGTGCCACTCTCATTTGAGCACGGAATGCAGCACTGGCTTCGGTAAACGATGGTTCGGCATGAGCAACAAGTGGTCAGAGGTATTACACCAAAACTCCGCTATAGTGAACTATAGAAAACAGTCGGTTGTGCATTTGTCACCCACGGAACATGACTTTTCCGGTTAAGATCCCTCAAGACTGTGTTACAGACCGTTTGGAATATTTTATCATAGCTTCAGTGTCATTCATCCGACGCTCCTTCCAATTCAGTTCAATCATCGTCTTTTGCACGGAATGAAACCACTGATCCAAAAGACTGTTTTCTACCTTCCACAAAGACATTCTGAAATTCGGGTTCAGAAATTCCAATATAAGCAAATAATTCTAGGGGAACTCCTAATTTTTAGCGTTGTATTCTGCTCACTGCTTTATAAAATGAACCGGATCCCTACATGCTTCAGAGTATTCACTCCTACAGACCCAGAGCCTTTATCTGCTATTAGTTCAGTGCATCATGCTAAACGTGTCCAGCTGGAATGACTAATATGCGTATATACATGACCAAGAATATGGTGATGCCGATTAAGTTAGAATGGTGTACGAATATCTGAATAACGTAATGTAATTGAACCAAAACTTTCTGCTTCTTAATTTTAATACATTACGACACTTGTATTTGGAACGAAACCGTAGAGGGTGATATATTGAGGACTGCCAGAAACTGGTTCTACAGAAAGCGGATTAGCAAGCATCATGAGTTAGAAAAACGTACAGTCAACAATGACGAAATCAGCAGGAGCGGTAATAGTCACTGACGCAGCACGGATTTCTATATGGGTAACAACAAGTAAGTATTAAACGATGTACAAACATACATATAGGGGTAGTCTGACTGTGAGTTGGCCGTAACGGCGCAGAAGTCAGTACGTTCGGGATTTGAAGAACTGTCTTTCGGTCGGCGTCGACGCATCCGCTCGTGTCGCGTGACAGGTCAGATTGCACGGTTTCGTCCGTTTAAAACAAAGCTCAGCAAGGGCTATCTGCCAGGTGCGATACATAGGTAATACAAAAGAAACAACACGTTGGACGTCCGGTTGGTGTAGTCGGTGACGCGTTCGCCTGCTGTCCGCAGACTCTGGGTTCGATACCCGGTCGGCGCGCCTTTCGGTCGGAGTGGACGCTCGTGAATAGGTGCAATCCAGACGGACGGGCAAATTAAGTATTGACATCAGTTACTGAGGCATACGCAGACCCTAAGCCGGGACGAAACAGGGGGAAAACGAGCAAAGAAACGAAACGGTGTCATAATAAACAGATGCGAGTCACGTTACTCATGAGTAGTCAGGAAACAAGGAAAGTTACCGCTGGTCACCGTTGATTCGCAGGCGGAATCAACAGGGTGTGTATTTCAACCCTGTTTTCGCAGATAACCCCTGGGACAATGATCATTTATTGATACCGTGGCGATGTTTTTGTGAATCTGTATGAAGGTCACATATCACGAAATTCCATGCTAATACTGGTGAAACCTGAAAATTTCCTATGGGAACTAGACCAAAATCCTACGCTTCAACTCTACATAGGGAAAGCTGAATAGGACGTGTTCTACAGTGTGGTTGTTTCAATCAACTAAGTAAAATGACGCTGAGAAACGCAAAACGGTTCACCAAGCGCCATAATACGTAGATAACGATCTACTATGTCATTTCTTCTCCGCTATAATGAAAGCTTGAATGCGTGGTGTTACTACGTCAAGGAATTTAGGTTCATCTATCCGATGCCTTGTTTTACTTGCACATTGAGCCGATGAATTCAATGTGGTGCATTTCCGCTCAAAAGAAAATACTACTTACCAACTTTACAAGTAGTTAAAAGCAAGTGGATAAAAAGGCCACGTGGAGGAAGGCTCCCGCATTTGAAGGCTATTAGCATGTAGGACATATTTACTCATTATTGGCTGCTTCACTCAATTTACTGTCTGGTGCTTCGGGGATTAATGAAAAATTCTGCCTGCTAGCAGTCCTTGAACCACTTCACAAGCTGTTCCGGGTAGCCGAAGTGTCCTAATGGATTGGCTACCCAAGAGTGACATGACATTCCGTCAGAACTAATCGGGTGTCAACCTGACAGATATTCCGGCCATGATCATTTTCGTGATATAACCGCTTCACCTCAGTTATTCGGGAGAGTCACGGATCGGACAGAATCAGAGAGGCTTCGATCTAGGTAGAGGTTGAGATGACTAAGTAATCAGTCTGCGCCATGTTCTGAAACAACACACAGTTATTAGTTATCAAGTCACCAGTCGGTACATCGACTACTGCGCGACAATGAGTTCACGAAATCCTTAACTGTATATGGACAAGAGCATTTGCTTCAAACTCGACAGGGTTTATCAGTGCTTTTCAATGTCACGACCGGTGGGAAAATGTCGCAAGACCTCAGCAACTTCTCTGAAGTACCCATAAGTTTTGTCATCGTGAGTGGGGCAAACGATACCGTCTCCCTAGGTGAAGCTACGATGGAAATTCTACCTATCCTTGGTCGGCCACTACGTTTCGCTGGTTGGCTTGGAAATGAATTTTAACTTTGATCATGAATTCTTCATCACAAGTGCGGACGTGCTGTTTATTTCGTTTAATGTCCACGGGGATCCATTCAACTATTCGCGTTTGATCATCCTCAATAATGACTGCGCACAGCAAACATGGATTCGCATCGATCTTTATGTTGCTTCGGCTCACACAGGATGAACGTCAAGGAACCGTCCTTCTAACGATGACTTTGCATCCGCTTTGGTCGTCGGATCCGCATCTACATGGGCTTACTAAATTTCCCCTCTGGAATGACAATCTTCGCAGACTCGGGACAGCCGTGTACTGGCGCCCAGAACTAATGAGACATAGGAACGACAGAGTATCCAGTGGTTGTCTGCAAGTGACACAAAGATGGGTATTATTTTTCATCGTTATCATTGTGTATTACTGTTACT